GTTGGGGGCGAAGATCCCCGTCCCCCAGCCACGGAGGGAAGCCTCCGACCCGCGCGCCCTCCGGACTGACTGCAGGGCAGCCGAGCTGGAGGAAAGAGAAGCAGCTCAGCCAGGGTGCCACCAAGCAGCACGTGGGCAGGCACAGAGGGGAAGCCACCCAATCAGCTGGAGCACGGTTCAGCCTCCTCTGGGCTGAACGCCACAGCCAGCAGGCCAGGCAGCTTCTCCTCTGCGCCAGCCCACAAAGAGCGTGGTGCACCCTGGCTGAGCGCCATGGCCAGCTGGCCGGGAAGCTGCTTCTCTTCCCTCCAGCCCGGCTGCCCTGCGCTCAGCCCAGGGAGGCTGCGTCTAGCTCCAGCTGTGAAAGCCACAGTCATCTGGCTGGGGGGTTTCAGCCCTCCCGACCTCCCAGCTCCCACCATTCCTCGCAGCTACTCACCTGTGTTGTTGCTCAGTGAGTAGCTGCTCCTCAAATGAGGAAATCTAATGTAAATGTACTGCGCAGGTGTGCAGTTCAGGGGCTCAAGAGCTACTCTTAGAGCCCCGGAGATCTACCGGTAGCTCATGATCTACTGGTTGGTGACCAGAGGAACTCCATTACTGGTTAAGGTGAGACAGAGCGTTAGAAAGTAGACTGCTGGGAACAATCCTTATAGATCTTGAGCATCTTTGATTTCAATTATTTCATTCTAAGTACCACCATTTTGCTCTTGCCAAAGTACAGCAAAAAGCTACAGTTCCCTGCTCTTTCTTGAGAAAGCACCACACAAAGACAGTTTTGTGTGGCAGCTTGAGTTCTTTCTGATGGCACCAGCTATGAGACGTTTCTAATAATTGTATGTTTGAATAACTTCTTGGTGGGAGAGCTGTGCATTCAGTGAATTTAGACACGGCCCCTGCCCTCTCTTGTCCACTTGCCATGACTCATGAGCCTGGCATGTGAATAAGTCAGGCCTGGTAACAATACATTCAATAAGAGAACCCTTCTGAAAGAATTCAGCTGTCAGCTTTTTCTTCCAGGAATGCATAAGGAATATGAACAGGAGACATGTAATAATAATCGTGACGCTCGATACTCTGCCCGTATTTACTGGATTTGGAGACTGTAAGGCATCTGTTATGCACACCTAAGCTTGACGAGAGTCCCAATTGTGCTGAATGTTAGAATTTTATGTTACCATAATAATTAACAGATTAGAATGAGACTAGAAATCTGCTAAAAGTCTTTCTTCCGGATTATACCTTGTCTGAATTTAAATGCTTGGCTTTGTACTGTTATGTTTACATTGGTCGCTGTTGGTGCTGTGTTACATTGGCAGAGGAGAGGTTACCGGGACTGCATACTAACCAGATTGGTCATTTCTTTTAATTTAACCCTTACAATTATCAGTTGCCCAAGTCTAAGCTTTTTCATTTAATCATTAGAGACTAGTGTTCTTGTTATAGCTTTATGGCTGAAACCAGTGTATCTGCGAATCTGTCTCACTAAGTCTCAAGATGTATTTGAGTATTTATTGCTTTCATTTGAATATTTAATTTGGTTAAGCAGCAGTCATGTGCTTTTCCCTTTTGAATCGGCAGGACTAGTCACCTCCAGTACTGCACACAAGCTATGTTTAGACAATATGCACAGAAAGATGAACTGAGCGTGCTGAGGGACAGATGCTTGTCAGCTTCTGAGTACGTGTGCTGTGTGTGCGTGTGGAGTTCCTTCTGTCACCTCTTCACTCTTTTGCAGGGGCTAGCTAGGATCTAATGCTAATACTCTCGCAGGTTCTAGCTGTCTGCAAGGGCAGAGAGCTGGCAGGGCACTGAATAGGACAGCTGCTGCATCCTCCTCAAGAGTATCAGAGCTGCTGCTCTAGCATGGACACTCCAGGAGCACCTGGAAAATATATGCCAAAAGGGGTGGCAGAATGGAACCCCACAGGAATCTGTATAAGATGAGCCAACAGAACTCAGAGGCCTTTCAGAATGGAACCTCATGAACTCGGGGCAACAAAATAATCTATCCACAACAAATAACACAGACAAATTAGCAACATCATAGAAAATACTAC